CATCGAGAATTTAGTTATTACGAGTGATGACAGAAGCAGCGAATCAATAGGATTTATTATACGACCTTAGGAGATAGATAGATATGAACAGACAGAGATAGATAGATAGATAGATAGATAGATAGATAGATATTATCACTGGTCTCGTTTGTGCACTGCGATCTGTTGTAATAATGGTTAGAAAGCTTGTCTCACCAGATCAATTACGACTGAATACTGAGTTCGATCCTGACTAAGGGCCCCAGACTTTCGACCTTGTGCCAATTCTATGCTACGCTTAGAAAATCTCCATTACTGGTACCGTTGAAAAACCAAGCAGTTATCGAATGTAATTCACTAATATTTTCATTTAAGACTGGAATTTTTAATTTGTTGAAATCTATTCCTTCTAAATCTTTTAATCCTTATCTTTTTAAATGAATTCCAACAGAAATATTTTTGTTCCTTTCTTTGCTTACCATTTTTCTCTTTTTTGAAGAAGAAGAAGAAGAAGAAGAAGAAGAATGAAAGTATTTATTTATTTTTTCTTCTTCCAATTTTGTTTTGTCTAGACATCGTTCCAAATGAAAAGCAGAGTATCCGGAGGAATTTCATACCTGAATGTGACCGGAAAAACCGTCAGCCGAACCGCTTTAGATATATCGCTTTTAAAACGAGAATCCAAAATCGATAAATTAAAAAAAAAAAAAAGATGGATGAAAAATATTTAAACGATTGTTACTTCATATACATAGCCTTAGGCTTTGGTTCAGTAATTTAATGACAGTGATTGTGAGTTCGATCCCTGGGACGGGTAGTACGGACTTAGACTTTGAGCCAGGAATAACAGATCAGTAATAAATAAGAAAAAAACGATATATCCATAGCTATAGACCGAGTATTGTGAACAATCTAATTCCGTAAATTAAATTCCCTAAAGGTTACCCTTTTTAAAAGACACCTGAAGAAGGCTGAAAGGTACAACGGCCGAAACGTTGGCTGCATGTAAAAATCATGTCAACTCATAGAATTCTTTTTATTGTGTTATTTTTTTTTTTGAAAAAATATTGATAAATGAAAAAAAATTAATTAAACTGGAATATTAATTAATACAGAAATTGAAATTAAAGAAATATACCCAACATATGTAAAAAGATTGTTTAATTTACAGAATTTACAGATGTCTATGCTTTCAGAGATGCGCCAGATCTGTCAGTGAATATTGCTGAATCAATGTCAAATAAATCTTACGGCTCATTTCGATAGGTCATTTCTTTTGTGTTTTATTAAATCACGGTTGTACGTCTATTTAATTCTGTTTTTGTAATCTTTTTAATAATTTTATTTATTCATTAATTAACATTTTATTGTTGTTTCTTTATTTGTTTTTATTGACTGCAATGAACCAAAGTAAATTAACTTAAAATTAATGGCGAAGTATTACTGTACTTAAAATTCTATGAAGTACGTATTCAAAATCTTAAAACCGTGCCTTAAAACCGTACATAGTTCTATATGAATATAAGTTTGTGAAGATTCTTGTATGCCTAAGGGGCATCGGATTGATCTGCATTTGATCTTTAACTCAATTACACACACACATATATATATATATATATATATATATATATATATATATATATATGTGTGTGTGTTTAATGTGTGTGTGTGGTCATTTTTAATTTAACATCTACTGACTGGTTTGAAAAATCCTTGCCTATTATTTTCAATTTACAAGGTGAAAATGCTCATAATGCTTGCCGTTATTTTAAGAAGTAAGGGGATACAAATGAAAAGATTTGAAATTGACAACTTTTTTTCCATTTCACTGAAAGAAACATTAAATACTTCTAAATTTCATCCGTTTTTTTTTTGTTTTTGTTTTTTTGTTTGTTTTTTTGTTTTGTTTTTTCTCCATCACTTTCTCAGTGAGACAAGTAAAGTCCCTGGTATGTCTTTTCCGTCTTTCCACGCGCGACCCAAACGGAATATTCAATTATCTATGAGGTAATGGCAGGAGACTTTAAACACTTCTAACTTTCTTTCTTTCTATCATTTTCTCACTGAAGTCAAGTAGAGTCTCTGATATGTCTTCTTCAGTCTTTCCACGCGATCAAAACGGAATAGTTCATTGTTTATGGAGGTATTGCCTGGGCGTAACGGCCGGGTTAACTAAGAGAAGAAGAAGATCTAAGGGAGGGAGGAAGAAGAAGAAGATCTAAGGGAGGGAGGGAGGGAGAAGAAGAGGAAGATAATATAAGGGAGGGAGGGAGGAAGAAGAAGAAGAAGAGGCCCCGAAAACAAAATAAGGACGAGGAGAAGAATAGTAGGAGGAGGAGACGAAGAAATAACATCAGTTAAAGACAAATAAAGAAAAAGAAGAAACTAGTCCAAGAAGAACTAAGGGAGGGAGAAGAGGAAGATAATATAAGGGAGGAAGGTAGAAGAAGAAGAACTAAGGGAGGAAGAAAAAAGAGGAAGATAATATAAGGGAGGGAGGGAGAAGAAGAACTAATGGAGGAGAAAGGGAAGATAATATAAGGGAGGGGAGGGAGGGAGAAGAAGAACTAAGGGAGGGGGAAAAGAGGAAGATAATATAAGGGAGTGAGGAAGAAGAAGAAGAAGAAGATTTAAGGGAGGAAGAAGAAGAACTAATGGAGGGAGGGAGGAGGGAGGGAGGGAGGAGAAGAAGAAGAACTAAGAGAGGATGAAGAACTAATGGAGGGAGGGAGAAGAATCATCATCATCATTATCATCATCATCAATTGGGTAACTTTGATCTTGTTTCAACGGCAGTCTTTAACTACAACCAAAAAGTGACGAAAAAACAAAATATCTTTCAGCTTTCATCTCCTCCTCGATATGACCCAACAAAATATTGATTATGAACACGAGACCTCCATTGGAGGAAATTTTTTTTTTTTTTTAATATAAAATTATAATTTTTTTTTTTTTAAATGTGCAATGTATAATATATCACATCAAATCCTTTTACGTTTTACAATATTTTTTCTTGCAATTTGTTTTTTAAACATTTTTTTTTCAAATCGTTTTTTTGTGTGTGTGAGCTTTGTTGTCACTGAAGACAAAATTTGAAACAAGAATATTAGAAAATTTCTGTTCTTCGCCAAGAAAAATAAAATTAAAAAAATAAATTCTTGTATTTAATAATAACAATAATAATAAATTGGAAGACATGCCAATTTTTTATGGAATAAACGAAAAAGGCGCCTTGATATGACCTTGTGGGTATCAAGTGAACGGAATTAAAATTATTTCGTTGACAGAAAAAAAATTAAGGATTAAATATTTCTAAAATACAAATAGAGAAAAAGAATAAGGAATGATATCATTTATAAAATTATTAGAATAACAGTCATACTGATATTTATCAGAATACTTGGAATAGAAAGATCGAAGGTTACAAACAAAAATTCTTTAGGTTTGGTTTGGTTTACGGCATATCAAACTCAATGGGTTATTTAATGCCGACAAAATTTTTATTGATGGTAATTTTTTTTTTTTTTAAGTATTGCTAGTAATATTTCTTTTCTTTCAAAAATTATTGCTGGTAATAAGTTTTTACAAAATATTTCTGGTATTAAAACCTATTTTTACACTTTCATAATGTTTTGACATCTGTTTGGGAGTTAACTATTTGCCCATAGCTGGGACCCGAACAGGTGCTACCACCCCGGGTCAGGCTGGACCTGGGAACACCAGAAATTAAGAGGTGGTTCCCCGCTTCTCAAAGACTTTGCTGTTGGGCGTATTTTATCGTCTTAACCAAGACCGAAAATTATTTAGGAATTGAGTTCAAACATAGTGGTAAGAAACCTTTTAAAAGAGGTTTAGAAATGTTTATATCATTTGGCCTTTTTCGACAGTGTTCCCATATTATTATTATTATTATTAATAATAATAATAATAATAATAATAATAATAATAATAATAATAATGACGAATACAGTAAAATAAAATATTAAATACTCTAGGATTTTGGAATTCAAATCAGGTCTAGAAAAAAAATTATTATTGCAAACATGAAAAAATTTTCTCAGAGAATTTTGCAAGAGAATTGAAAAAAAAATAATGGTGGCGTATTAAGGTGATAGTTATGCCTATCATTGCTGGAGCACTTGGAACAGATTAGTAGAGTTTTGGAAAGAAATTGAAATTCCGTAGAAATAATCTAGACCATATAAATTAGACACTAAACTGTGGAGATTTTCTGGAACTTAATCTAAATTGAAAGCCACTAGTTTACAATTTTCAAAATTTAATACGTACATTGGCACGTAATAAGCATTTACAAAATACATAAAATTATATTAAAAATATAAAATACTCATTTTTTGTAATATACGCATATTATATATATATATATATATATATATTTGTGTGTGTGAGAGAGAAATAGAGAGAATTTCTACTACTCCAAACGTTATTTTGTGGTTACCCGTAGTTGAGTAGCTGCCCGGTTTTTTGTTGGCATGGGGGCGGAGGTTCGAGACCTGTCGGAGAGCACACGTTGTCCATGAAATCTCTCTAATTCAGAGGTCGAGAGACGTAATTCATGATATATATATATATATATGTGTGTGTGTGTGTATAGAGTATCATATTATGTCCGTTGCTTGAGGATGAAAAAAGCAGTTATCTCGCACAACACATTTATCTTCTAAATAATTTCTTCCCATTTCAATTTCAGTGGTGATTATTTAGGATCGAACATTTTCCATTGAAATATTCAAAATCAAGACTCAAATAAAATTACATTCAGTCTAAATAGATAAATAATGAATAAATTAAGATAGATAGATAGATAGATAGATAGATAGATAGATAGATAGATAGATAGATAGATATGAATTGACATAGATAGATAGATAGATAGATATGAACAGACTGAGATAGATACATACATACAACTTACATATGATTATTTAAGATTGAACATAATCCACTGAAATATTCCAAATCAACACTCAAACAAAATTACATTCAGTCTGACTAGATAGTTAATGAACAAATTTAGATAGATAGATAGATAGATAGATAGATAGATAGATAGATAGATGGAGATACAGAAAAACAGAGAGATTGATAGAGGGAGAGATATGTGAACAAAATAAGATAGATAGATAGATAGATAGATAGATAGATAGATAGATAGATAGATAGATAGATAGGATAGGGTAAATCAATAAATACATGATCTGACATGGATATAGTAACTATAATTTCGGTCCGAAATTTTCGCTGTACAATAATTTGAAAATCTCATTTAAATCTATGTGATTAACAAACGCTACTGAATTAAGTGCATTGACAAGTAAGAAGACTATGTTTAAAATAAAACATCCACTGAAAATAAAGGCCTTTTTAAAAAGCCTGAGTCTATACACTACTTAATTTTCCTGTGTTTTTCCCCCTAAACCAAAACCGAGTCTAATTTCTGCCGTAAACAAATACATGTGCTTTTTACCTATATTCATATATATTAAGTGTGCGCTTATATAGATGTGTATAATGTGTTTATATCATTGAAATTGTATGTACTTCTGAGAAAAGGGTAAAACAAATAACGCTAAGAGTTTGTCCATGGACATCAAGACATAGATATTTATTTTAAATATGAGCGATTACGTATATATTTCAAGTACCAACTCTTAGACATCCATTTTAAATATCACTAATCATTGATATAAGGTGAGCATACAACAGTTTTTATGTGTATATCAACACTTATATAATTATTTTAAATAACACGTACACATGAATTTTAAATAACACTTTTCTTTTTTTTTGTTTAAGCGTTTCACAAAGCAACCCCCCCCAAGGAAGGCGAGAAGCCACTAAGACGCAAGGGGTTACAGAAGATTTGGAGCAAGATCAGATAGGAGTGATCGAGGAAAAGACGAGGAGAAGGGTAATGGATAGATCAAGGCAACTGGAGATGTTGATTGACATTACACTTGAATAGCTGGAGATTATAGCTCTCAGGGAAATTGGAATAGGGAAGGGAGTTCCACAGGCGAGATGTGCGAGACATGAAGCTATTGGAGTAGAAGAGACGGCTACATTTAGGAGTTTCGACAGTGAAAGGGTGAGAGCGGGATGCCAGCCTCGTAGGGCGCTTGAACTCATGACGTCTGGGAACCAGCGAATGCAGCTCCTCAGAGCAATTGCCATGAAAGTATTTGTAAAACAGACAGAGAGAGGCGACGGCGCATCTGTGAGAAAGCGACTGTAGACGAGATGCCAGAGCAGGGCCAATTATATTGCATATCCGTCTCTGGAGCCTATCAAGAACCCACTTACACATGAATTTTAAGTATCAACACTTACATATGAATTTTTAAATAACAACACTTACATATGAATTTTTAAATAACAACACTTACACGTGAATTTTTAAATAACAACACTTACACGTGAATTTTTAAATAACAACACTTACACGTGAATTTTAAATAACAACACTTACACATACATTTTAAATATCGCTATTCATATATGTAAGGCTAGCATACAACAGATGTTTCGTGTATATTAACAGCAACACTTACACATGAATTTTAAATATCAACACATACACATCTATTTTAAATATTACTACATATAAAGTCGGGATTACAACGGTCTTTACGCATATACTTACACATGAATTTTATATATCAACACTTACAAGTGTATTTTAAATATCAGATCTTACACATGTATTTTAAATATTACCACTTACGCACTAATTTCAAATATTGCTATTCATTTTTGTCAGGCTAGCGTACGAATTTTCGTGTATATTAAAACTTACCTATGTATTTTAAATATCGCTAATGATATATGTAAGGCTAGAATACAACGGATGTTTCGTGTATATCAACAAAGATATGTACTTAAATATCAACTCTTACATATGTATTTTAAATATTACTAATTTTATATATAGATACATATCAACACTTGTTTTTTAATTGACAACAATTACGCTTGTAATTTAGATATAAACACTTGCACATGTATTTTAAATAACAGGTATTACGCATGTATTTTGAATGCAAGCAAATACACATGTAATTTAAATAGTAACACTAGCACATATAGTGAAATATACACACTTAGACACATGTTTTAAACATCAACACTTACACGTCATTGAATACATTCACTTAATAATGTATTTTAAAATATCAATACTTACGTATGTATTTTACTTGACAACACATGCATATATTGGAAATATGTAAACTTACACATCTTTTTAACATAGCAACACAGAAACATGTTTGCTAAATCTGAAAACTTCAAGGAAAATACAGGGCGATTGAAAAATAACTCCCCATTTTAAATTACTTATAATTTATTTATTAACTATAATTTTTAAAAGAAATGGATATGAGAGAAAAGCTTTTAGCAAGAGGTTTTATTTAAAATTCAATATGGACACCAGGTTTCGTTACCAGCTTCTCGAGCCGTTCTGAAATCGTGTCATCTGATTTCTCCGGGAACTCTTGTGGTAAGGAAGACCTTGTGGTAAGGAACCCTTCAAGTTCTTGGCTCGGTGTAGTAGATTTTGCTTCTTTAACCAACCCCGAAGAAAATAGTCAAAGAGGGGTTAAGTCAAGACTCCTTGCTAGT